TTGCTAGCCACATATGCAGGGCTGCTACTCCTCCAGCTCCTCTGGCCTGCCCTCTGATGATGTGGGCAAAGTGTCAGTCCTGAAACCACCTTTGTGAACTCCAATGCTACAGAAGAAAAACACCAGGATTGTTGCTTTCTTCTTCTTCCTTTTTGTGCATCTACTGTCCACAAGAGAGGCAGTAAGGGTAGCATTTGGCCAACAGAGATCTATCAAACTACAGAACAAGAAAAAAGGCTGGAAAGGGTCGTAGAAATCTCGTAATCTACTACACATCCCTGTCCCAACGCAGGAATCAATTCTGCCTAAGCCATTCCTGACTGATGCGTGCTAAACTGTTCTTAAGTGTGTTCCTCCAAAGATGGAGTCTGTGTAGCTCTCTGAGCAATCTGTTTCAGCACTGCACAGTCCCTACCATTAGAGAGCTTTTTCTTATGTCTAACTGGAATCTTTGTAGCTGCAGTTTAAGTTCATATCCACCGTAAAACTGGAGAACAGATTATTCTCTCCTTTAGCAACAGCTCTTTCTGTAATTGAAGACTGTTCTCATGTCTCCTCTCAATTCTCCCAAGGGAAGTAGCATGAGCCCTGTATCTTGGGAGACTTCAAATTAGATCAGGCTAAACAGTTTAGAGTGCACTGTAGGAAGGGAAGCTGCCTCAGTAGGAATGCGGAGAACACAGTCTAACTTCTTTTTTCCACAATAACCTCTTAAAGCCTGGCGCAGTGCTTTTATCTGTATTTAAAAACATTGCACACTTTCTTTTGATCAAGAAGGAAATGATGGAAAAGTGAAATACAGAGAAAGGAAATAAATCTTGAAGGCAGGTATTAATTTTAGGGACTGGTTTTGTAAAGCTATTCACCATCTGCCTGATATCCCCTGTAATCAATTCTTTCATTCTGACCTTTTCCTTAGAAACTTGCAAGTTTAAATCCTTCCCCAGTCCTCTCCTTCCATTTAAATCGTGATTTGGCCTTGTACCTCTGCAGTCCTTAAAAAATTTGCTTAGAGTATTTGTAGTTTGGTGATTCATTAGATTGCAACTGCATATGTCCTTCTTAGTTACTTACCTGAGGGCTTTTATAGCTGAAAAAAGCAGTCTTAGCTGAAGAGACGAGCGTGCCTAGCAGTAATAAATAAAGCACATGGAGTCAATTAAAACAATGTTTAAATAATTTTCACAAAGGAGGATGCTTGATGTTACTACATCAGAGGACCACAGTGACTTTTGAGCCAACAAGCTGTGCAGGTTTACTTTCTCATTTAATCTCTAGGTCTATAAAAAAATGCATGCTTCCATAGCAGTCATCTACCCATTCCAACAGTTAACATGATTTTGGAATTATTTTAAGTCCAAACCATGTGAAAATAAATCCTAACTCAATTTTGTGGGATTACTTTGTTTCCATTAAATTCCTCTTTAAAGCATTTCATATGCTCAGTTTTATTATTGTTACTTCCAGGAATTTCTAAATACTTCCAAATTTGGATTGATTAAGGCTTTTTATCTTTTCATGGGGGAAAAAAAGAAAAAAAAAAAATCCCTGCCTTCCTTCCCAGGTATTTGCAAACCAAAATGTTTATATATGCATCATAATAGATGCATATACAACATACACACCCTGTGGTTCTTTATAGTCACAACATATTAGAAGGTAGATATATCAGATTTCACAAGCTAAACAAAACAGAGCTTAGCAAGTACTTAAAGATGAAGGACCTCCAAAAGAAATCAGGGCATAGTGAAGAATGGTGAAGTCATGTGGGTGATTAAACAAATGACATCCTTTCTTCTGGTTCTCCAAAGTAATGTGCATGTGCTTAAGGAACAGAGTAGGAGAGGGTTAAGCAGATGGTCACATCTCTGCAGGATGTGGGGTTGGTGTTTTGACCCTTGATGGGAAACAGTGCAGTGCCATTTTTGCACGTCATTCTGTAGCTTAGTAGAGGTCTGTGTGAGTATAATATGCAGCTGTGTGGTGGTTGGTGTGGGGTTCCTGCCCATATATTTTGAAATGACATTTTTCAGATGAGTAAACTCTACGTTTTCCCTGTGATCATTCAAGGTTCATTGGTCAACAATGCTGTGGCACCTGTCTATAGGTAGATATAGACGTGTTTTTTTAAGTAACGATGTACTTCCTCACCACTTCCACACACAGTGTTTTTTTTGTATGCTGAGCTTTAAATACTTGTGTTGTTTTGCATGTGTGATCCTATCTGGGATTTTCTATCCAATAATTTTTATTCCAGTGGTAATTGAAGTGAAATGCTTAAATGTAGTTAGCTTGTACCTTTGTAATAGACTTCGATGCTCACAAGGTCACTCTGTAAATGCATAGATTTGGTAGTGCTAGTCTCCCTGAAGTTGACTTTTGCTTCTGACTTCTATGGAATCAGGATTTCTTACCTTGTAATTGAATTTCCTCAAATAATTGTAGACTCATTTTTCCTTTTCCTGCTGTTTTATGTTCAGATGTCCCCTACCAGGGAGATGACTAGATTTGCTTACACATCAGCCCACTGAGGGTACACAGTGGACACTAGATGCATTTTGACAGTGAATATTCTGAAATATTTGCTGGCATCACCTTCCCATGAATCATAGTCTCTCTGTCCAGCCTTTTATGCGTGGGCAGGAAGAGACTGAGGTCAAGCCTATAATTGCAGTTCTAGAATATGCTTCATTTCTGCCTTCAGTCAGGCTGCCTGTCCCTCTCTTAATTATGTGATAGAGTCTCTGTTTCATCATTTTGTTATGAAGAGATTTGCCACAAAGCAACCTCTGTGGCATAAGATTTGGCAGAGGCATGCAGAATTTGGATTATAATATCTCACAGAAAAGTTCACCGGATGCTTAAATCTTTTTCTGCCTTCCTTTCTGCAGAGGTCAACTAATCAATGCAATATAATAGTGTATTTCTAGTCACTGCACTGAGCTGCCACAGCCTCACCCGCCAGGCAGGATGAGCTGTTCACGAACTGGCTCTTTCCTCCTCATTGCCACTGTTTGGACTTTGTGCAATGTAAACAGGCCCTGAGCTCCACAGGCAGAAACCTGAAAGCTCTTTCAGGAGTGCAGAGACATCTGCACCCTCCCCTGTCCCTGGGTCATCTGCACAAGTTGCTGACAAAGCTTGGCCCCAGGCTGCACTATCTGTAGCTATGTGGCCCTTTGGATATGCCACAGATGTGTCCGTGGTGCGCTGCGCTGGTGCAAGCAGAGCGGCCGAACCAGCCCTGCCCTCCTGCCTCTGCCAGGACCGGGTGAGGGCTTCTCTCCATAGTGGTCCTCCCCAGGTCTCTGTCCCTTGCAGGGCTCAGCCAAACCTTGCTGCAGCAGCAGCATTGCTGAGGGTGGAAATTTGATGGGCTTCAATAAAATACCAGTGCCTAACAGGAGCTTGGGGGAACTTCATGTGTCCACCTGTCCCACTGACTGAAGACCATGGTGCATAGTTTTCCTTTCTTTCTACTAACCTCCTGTATGACACATGATTTGTGAGGGCCAACTGGAAACCTGAAACTTTCTGTCTGTATCTTCAGTGAATTATACGTAAGCATCCAGTTGTAACCACCTGGGCCTTGTCTTTAGCCCAGATGCACCCACCACGCTGCCCTTTTGACAACGGTTACATTTTTGTTAATTAATTGTATTGTTATATTTTTATTTGTTGAGAATTTGCAGTGGTTGTCATGTTACCTACAGAAACCTGTGTGTTCATAAGCTTTGTTGTGACTGGCCCTGGGCTTGACCAGTGTGAAATAGCAGCTGGGAAGTTTAGTTTACTGCAGTCAGGATTTTGGCCATTGCGTGCAAAATTTTCTAGATCAGTCCCTCTTTTGATCTTTGTCTCCCTTGTCTCTAGAAATAATAATTTCTGAGCTTTGTAGGCAAAGCAAAACAACCAAGACAAAGATATAACAGGTTCCCAGACAAATATTACTGTCTATCTGAATATTTATTAAATTAAGAACAAAGAGAGAATGGAGTGGCATCTATCATAAAACACACTCAGAAAGGCATTTACAAACTCTACCTAAAACAACACTTTTGCAGTTTCTCTATTTTACTGATTTTTCCTCCTTTGAACATAAATCCTAGTCAGCTCCCACCAGGCTTGGTGGAACAGCTGTCTTGGCCTCAGTATGAAAAGAAAGGTGTGCATTGTCTCTTCTGCTTGTATTTCATAGCCATGGACACCCAGGCGACTTCTCTGAAGATAGTTGGAACATGCTTGTACAAATGAATTAACACACTGATACAGAAAATGGTGTGTTGCTTAGATTATCTGGTAGGTGGGTCTTCACCAGAGACTTGGATTTCCTAGTTAAGTACGGGTTTTCTGTGTAACCCTGTTTAAATCACCTAATCTCTCAGTCCCCCATTTTAAAATGGAATCGGTAGTGCTCTGAGGCTGTGACATTTCATACCACAATAAGTGCCTACGGCCAGTGCTATAAGAAGATGCTTTGGTGCATAGGACACTGTCTCTGCTCTCTTCTACACCAGGCATTCATGCTGCAAGGCCACTCCATCTCTTTCTAGACTTGCATCTGGTTTATTTTACCACTATGTAATCTTGAATAGGGTTGCATTTTGCCACCATGGAATCCTCTATAGGGTGGCATCCAGTGCAATACAGGAGGGACCCCCTTTCTGCTTGGGCTTTGCAGGTAAAACCCTGTTTTATGCCTATGATGGCTTCATTCGTAGAGCCTGACAGATTGACTGTGAAGGTGGAGTCAGCTGCCACCTGATGAAGACACAGATGGTCAAAATTTTCAACAGGAAAATCTGTCCTCACCCATGTTCCCAGGAAGCACTGCTTGTTGGGTAGTTAAGGTGTTCATCTACCACAGAAAGATGGGTGGTGGTTCTTCCTTAAGCAATAGCATCCCCAGGCTCAGTGAAGAATACATGATCCTTTTTTCCTCTCTTTCTTCTTTATGTCCATGAATTTGTTTTCAAAAACATGTCTTTTTTCTTCCTTAGGAGATGACCCATTCCTGGCCTCCTCCTCTTACTGCTATTCACACTCCTGGCAAAGCTGAGCAGACCAAGTTTTCTATCCCAAGCAAGGTACAAGTAGGCTATTAGCAGTGACCTGATTAACATTCTTTTCTGCTGAGTCTTCTTCGCTGGAGAGTTTATTTTTGTAATTGGTTCCATTTTCAAATATTTCTAAGATTATTTTTAGTTGGAAATTCCCAATCAGGCTGTTGCTACTAGTAGGATTGCTTATTTAAAGCTGCGGAAGTTACAGTGAAGGCTAAGTGAACTTTATCTCCGTTGCTAGAAGTCTTTCTACATCGAGTACAATATATTTTATTTGCTTGGTTTTCTTCCGTTATTATTTGTGCAATGCAATGGCTGAAATGGTCATTTGTTCCTACTTGATGATTGATTGTATGATGAGGTTTAGGCTGCATGGACAAATTACAGTGACTTAAAATGTTCCTGCATGTGAACTGTACTGTGGCATCTGTCTGTCTGCACACTCCAAGGGCACACAAAGTTGCACAATGAGATCCTCAGCACTGACCTTGCTAAAAGCACATACTCAGCGCTTGCAGCATCAAAATCACATGCCTGGAGAGTACCTGCATTTCACGTAACACACAGTGAATCATTAAGTTGTATGATTTGAACATGCCTTTAGCCCAAATTCCATTGTTGCCTTCTAGCTATGATTCTGATAGCACTGTTAGAGATCAGCCTCATACCCAGGGCAATTATTGCGGGAGGTATCTTTTGCTGGAACCTGAATAACTGTCAGCTGATGATGTTCAGGGAAGGGGAGAACTTTCGCACGGTGGGAAATCTATACCAGTCTGAGATGTCATGGAAGTTTCTTTCTAAAGACAGGACCTTGGAAAATAGCTTATAAAACTTGTACTGCTTGACATTATGATTCAAGAAATCATAACCTGGTTTAGCATGTGAATTTCCTTTTACTGATTTTATCTGTTTGGCAGATATTCCCCTGTCTGAAATGCAGCCACCCTACTTAAATGGAAATCATACGAAATTTTCAGTATGTGTGGCTCCTTAAAAAAACAAAGCCAGTACCCAGAATGCTTTATTTTAATGGAATGTGATTGTTACTGCTCTAGCACTGCCATTGTCACTGCAGTTAACTGTTTCAGCATTAAGCATCAGAAGTCATAATCATACAAGCATATAACTCCCATTGCAAATTGAGTTAAAGTCAGTTGAACCCATTTCAGTGAAAGTGGAGTCTGCCTGTGTGAATACAGTGAGAGTAGAGGGTTGTGCCCACTGGAAGCTGTATTTTTTTAATTTATAACATCTCTTAATTTAGTGCTCTGTTCTAGGTCCTGCGGACTGCCCTTATCTCCATTGGCACCAATATAAGCATAAGCTTAGAGAAGATAAAATTTTTCTTTGTTTTTCTGTTTCTATTAAGTTTGCTTTGAACTTTTAAGATCCACATCAAAGTTAATTTCTGTGCACGTTAAACATTGATCCTAAACTTCTTGACCCATATCACTTCAATACTAAATATAAATTAGAAATTTTTTTTGAGCTAGGATTTCAGGAAATAGGTAAGCACATAAATGTTTCCAAGTTTACTAATTATACTTTAAAAAATACGACAGAAACGTCTCTTCAGAACATCACATTAAATCAATTACAGCTAGCCAAATTATAGATCTTAGGCATAATGTGGCTAGATTGTACAGCCATGTAAACCAGAGATGGGCACTATTAGAAGTTCTCAGTTTAACAATTAAAAAGAAAAAATAAAAAGTATCCTCATGAGAAATGTATATTAAAAAGTGTGATAAAAAGGTGGAACTTATCAGAACAATTTATCCCTTTGACATTCAAATTTGAAGTGCCATGTTTACTCTTAGGGCATGATTTACTTCACAAGGGACTGACTGACAGCACAGTATAATATCAGGAACTAATAATGCCCTAAGAGGAAGTGCAGTGAGGGCTTTAATGACTTTAACATCCTACAGAACTAACACTTCCAGCAAAGTAGTGCCTGGCTGTAAGATGAGATTGTAAATAACACCTTAATTTCAAATGATCAAACTCTGCTTGGAAGGAAAGCTGATTACAATCACTGTGGACTATAAAGCCGAGAGAAAAGCTAAGTAAGAAAACACTGTGACATTAAGGAAGCAGCTTAGTTATTGTGAGCCAACAAGAATCCTGGCATTAGCATGCTCAGTGTTACAAGCCAGATTCTTTGCTGGTTTAAAGTTGTTGTATTTCCATTGATTTCATTGGATTTGGACCCGTTTCCCTCAGGTGAAGATCTGCTTCATGCGTCTTTATCAAATCCTGTGTGTCACAGTCAAAATAAAAAGAGTGACTATCAGTAAAAGGTTACTGTATTTCCAAGCAGTGAGATCAAAAAATAAAAAAGGCAGTGGTGCTGAATTTAATGCCTAGTTGCATTCATGGTGCGGTCTAAATTGTACATCATGGATGGCTCATACACACATCCATGGCCAAGCCTGGAAAAGGCATGCACCACTGCGGAACTAAAACTGTTCAGTGTCTCCATGAAGGGGGTATGTAGTTTTACAGCAGCTGAGGACAAGCTCTTGTCTGAACTGTGAAAGGGTCCCCCAGTGGTGCTCTGTCTCCACAGTTAATGTTTTTTTAAACTAATGTCACTGGTGCTGCCTTTAACAATCACATGATCCCTTCCCTGTACCATCTCCTTCCCTGTGTGTGTAATGCCAGTGCCCTTAATCTAGCAAGCCAAGATATATCTTACCTTCTTCCTCTTATTTAACTAATGCTGACATTTTGTGTGTTCTTCTTTGTAGGACTCCCAACATCTGACCTCAGGATACAATGTACAAAGTAGGTCTTTATCATCCTAGTCCTAACAGTCAGGGTTGGGTGTTTTGTTTTGTTTTGTTTTGTTTTTCCTTCTTAACATCATTAAAACAAAGGATAAAAAATTAATTTCTGTGGTGCTAAAGCAGATCAGTTCCATTTTTTATTACATGTTATGCATTGTGGCATGTTGTGAAACCAAGTATAATTAGATGGGCTGACAGCTTTGGGTGCATTTTAATTCTACAGTAATCTTTTGACATTTGAAAATGTGTTTCCTTTGTTTGCAGAGTGGAGTGATCCAGCAGGGAAAGTTGCAACTAAGTCAGTGCCACAAAAGTCGTAAGTATTATTATTTCCAGCTTTAAATCTCATTTTAAATTTATCATAAAGAATGAGCTTATTTCTCCAAAGGTAACTAAAATCTAGCTCTGCTCATATTCTTGTCCTAGTGTTCAGGTGTTCTCAGTAGTCCTTAAAAATTAGCCATAAACCAGTTTTATGTTTTCAGTGCTTATTACAGTGTCTTCTTTTTAAGCATTAGCTAACAGAGGTATGTGTGAAAGATGAGTTTATTAAGCAGAAATAATGCTGATTTTAGTTGTAGAGCTTGCCAAAATTAAATCACTTTTATGCTTCTCTCATCAGATACTAAGCCTCTTACAATAGAAAATGCAACCCAATGAACAGATCATGCAGGAATTTTAACATTCATACAGTGAAAGAGAGTAAAACACATCATACAGAATGATTCTACTAGCTGGTGTTGAAAAGCTGGTCTTGAATTTCATATACTTTGAAACAGCTGAAAATCACAGATGATCTATAAATATGACAATTTAAAATTGTGGAAGAGCTAATTCTCCATTGTGTTAAACCATTTTTCTTTGGTGTTTCTCTGATAAGGCTGCAATAATGTAGCAATGAGTTGACACTGAACTGTTTTTTTTTACTTTTAGCCCAGGATCTCAAAGTAATTTACAAACAGGAATTATATAATAACTTTGAAAAGTAGGTGGTTGGTTTTGTACTTATGAATATACGTGGGTCTGATTTCAGTTCAGTGCTGATATTTTTTTTTTGGTATTCAGGTGTTTTAAACTGCTGAATGCAGAACTGCACTAGCTTAATTAACATTTGTGTAAATATAACATGTTCATTTAAAATTACTTCAAAATTATTCTAATGGTTCCCCTTACTCTACTAAGGACACAATTTTAAGTAAAACCGCGTAGGGGAAGAAAAATCAATGCAGAGATACCTACATAGGGGTTTTTTAATTAATTTAAATATACTGATTCTGAGTGCAAGTCTGTGCACAGGAAAGGACTTTTTCGAGTTCAGTGATTTGACTGTGACCATGTAAAAGATGCAGGACTAGACTAGATGTGGGTGCTGAATCCACTGATGTACTCACCAGGCTCTGAAGGTCCAGTTCTTTACTCATGAACTCAAGTCATGGAAGTATTCATTCAAATAAACTTTGTTGAATAAAACTTTACAAAATTATGTTTAAATTACTAATTCAGTTTTAAAATGAAATGCTTTTCTCTTCAGATTGAATGAGAATTGGATAGGAACGATAATGATATATAGTTTAATTTCCATGAATAGCATTTATATATGACACTTAGTAAGAAATTAGTATTTGCTCTTTGCAGTTTGGTTTCCAGTAATGGTTTGGGTTTTTTAAATAATCTAGCCAACTATACCCTCTCTTCTTGGTAACATAATGGGTGCATTCATGTTTCAGAACATCTAAGCCATCCAAACCTAACATCAAGCACATTCTGTAGTAAAAAAAAAAAAAAAAAAAAAAAAAAATATTATTACATCTTAAAATGATTTTTCTCCTAAAGCAAGTGTATTTGGATTCCACTGTGAAAAATATTTTAGCGAGTATACCGTAAAATACAATATTTCAATAGTTTGTAACCAACAGTAATAGACTTGTCAATCATGGTTTATAGTTATAAGCTGAATTTCAAAAGAACAGTGCTTCAGAGCTCAGTGGTATATAGTGCATTTAATGGGACCAAAGCTCTCTATAGGAAGCCTGATATAAAACCCGAAGACACTGAGTACATTTTATGAACCAGTTGCTCTCTGTTCTGCTGCTTGATCTAAAGTTCCAGTACTATCAATCAGATTTCTGCTGCAATGAACTGCCTTCTTATGGTAGGTGATAGATTTTACACATGAGAGATCAGAGCTGCAATAAAGCTACTTTTATTTTTAGCTTCCAAATGAAGATCAGCTAACCCATTACTATCACTTTTTCTCTTTTACTGCAGAAAAATTGTTAAGGTAGCTTCTAAGAATTTCCATAGGGCTTTGGGAGGTTAGAAGGCAGTCCACTGTGAGACTTGGTATTACGAGGCCAATTTGTTTCTTTAGATCTGCGTGTGCAGTCACTACCACTTTCACTGGGAATTACAGTACTTGAGGACATAATGAAATTAAAGCACAGAGTAGGACAGAATGACGTAATGGTATCAAGTAGAGTCAGATAGTGAGGTCCAAATAAACCCTGATAAATTGACAGCTCCTGCAGTCATTGGGTATTTTAATAATATAGTATTTATCAGATTGCAGTTGTGTTAAGAAATAGTTAATCTTTCTAACATGGGTCAGTGTCAGGGATATCAGAGTGTATGAATGAAATTACAGTCCAACTTATCCCCAGTAACATTTGTTTGCTACACTATCAAGCACTCATGATCTTACTGTCTTCACTGTTTTCCCCACCAGTTCCTTATATATTTTGTCAATGGGATCTGTTACCTGTATTTCAGTTTGATCAGTTCTGACTGAATTTGGGTTTGTTCATCTGTATGCTTTGTTGGAGACCTTTTAACCTGGACATGTTTCTAGATATTCCCCAACTTCTTTAAGTTTACATGTGATTCAAGTGAAACTTCAGTTATATTTTCCATTTACATTGGTCCTAGTGACAGTCTTATAGATTCCATTGGCTTTGTTAGAAATCCATAGGAATTGGTAGTAATGTGCTTGCATTCACCGTATAGCTGAGTTATACCATGCCCAGTTGAGCGATGCGTGCAGAACAAAGATACTTTACCTTCATGATGCTGTATTCTGCTCCAGCTGCTAAACTGCCTGTATGTCATTACAGAATTCAGATGTAGAAACACTGGCATCTTGGAAGATCAGACAAAAGACATGTATGATTTTTGCAAGATAAGCTTTCAGGTGCATGCTTCTAGCAGGGGGAATGAAGGCAACATACTTCAAAGTAGTTTAGTTGACCAACGCCTTGCTTTTGTAGGGGGATGCAAGATACATGACTTCTTGTCTAAGTAAAGATTAGATTTCTGAAATAAAAAAAAAAAAAGCTTTCTGAAAGATTAATTTCATCATTTTTATACTATTTCAAAGTACTTTATTGCATCTACAAGCTGGAGAAACCCAGTCCCCAGTGCTTTGCAGCAGGTAAAATAGAAGGTGTAGTTTGGATTGTGTCTAAACTCTGCACTGATGTTGTACATGAGTATGTGTACATGTAACTAACCTCAGATCCCAATTTCTACTCAAAAATCTTGAAAATGAAATTTTGAACACTGACTTGCATGTGTGTGTGGGTATACCGTGGTGAATTATTATGGCTGAAATCAGGCTATGTAAAACTACAGCACTTGGCTTCCCTTTTTTTTAATTTCAAATTCACTATAAATCTCCACTGGGTATTGTGCAGTCAGTTTTCAGCCAGTCTACTCTGATTAGTTTATTATGAAGCATAGTAAGCAGGAACAGATAAGGTGCAGCCAATTTCACTGAGAAGGATTTTCTGTCAACTTGCATAAATTTGAGGGTACGAACTCAGCTTGCAACTTAGGTTTCTGTTATATAATTACCATTGCAAGTATGTCATCCTCAAACATCAGGTCCTTTTGTTCTGTTTTGGTTGTTAGCATTTGGCCTCTGTCCAGTTGGAAACTACCCAGAACCTTTTTAATCAAGCACATCCTGTGTTTCAAAATCATACTGCAGAGTAGTCTTGGGTAGTTTCCATAAAAGCCTAGCTAAAAAGAAGAATGTAATCATAATGGTATTCTTCCCCTGTCATAAAATTACTTCCTATACTTACTGTATTAATACAGTATTAAAAGGCCCTTCTCATAGGCTCAGTGAACTACCGGAAACTATTAAAAAGTTAGAGCAGCAAATTTTTATGGATCAGACAAAACCAACTTATTTTATCTTTATAGAGTTTTTGTTATCCATCATACTTAATGATACACAACCTGTGTGGAGGCTAGAGAACAGCTAAATACAGTGGGCTCAAAACAAGCAGCTGAAACTCTTTATGTGATATTTCAGGAAAGATTTTTCAAAGGGGGCTCACCACTGGTTTCTGTTGGGCCAGGATTTTACTTCACAGTTCTAAAAACATTTCAGTAAATACCAGTACTTTTCTAATCTCAAAGATTATCATAATGCTTGATGGAAGGCTGTTTGAAAATGGAAATGTGGTTCTTGAAATCTAACTACTTTTCGTAAGTATCTAATGGCTTTTTGGAAGTTCTCCACTGTGTCAGGGACAGCCACCTGGGAGCATGGAAAACAAAATTTGGCAGCATGTTCAAGCTATGAATTAAAGGTAATTCATGGTTTGAAATGAATCAGCATGAGGTCCTTATGAAGAGTAATCAGACATCAAGAGGATTTTACACCAAGGATTGTATATTGGATAATGCGACAAGTAATGTTGTTATTTAGAACATTCAAATCAAGAAGCACTGATGAATTCTTAACCTTGAAAGGAGTTAGTTTTAAAAAACTTGGATTCATTCAATGTTGATGTATCATTTCCAGTTCAATCACATGAACCAAAAATGTAAAATTCATCTCCAACTGAAATAGGAAGGATGTTTCTCTTTATGCATCCAACTCTATATCTGAGTTCCAGTCACAATCCAGCCGAGGTGTGAAAATACACTGAAGAAGCTGAAATGCTAATATTTCTAATTACAGTTTTTAATCAATCATATTAAAGCATAAGAGTGTCAATTGATCCCACAGTGTTGATAGCCTGCTTTCTTTTATAGCATATGTTCATTTTTTACTTAGCAAGTGTGGCAAGCTCTAATCATTAGACTAAGTACTTCCTGTTTGTTAGGAGTAGGAAGTTCCAAAGATATTTCCTGTGGGTGAACTGGGAAAGTCATGAATACAAGGGACTTGCACTGCTATGTACAGATTATGTGGTATGTAATTGGAACTCCATTAATCTTTAGAGAGCTCCAGTGCACCATATTAAGGGGGCAAACAGCAAATGAAAATAGAAGAGTCTGTTTTGATAGGATGCCATTCATCTTTTG